TCACAATTTCACATAATTTGGTCACAAATTCCATATAATTGTTCATATGTTATTAATTGATCACAAATCTCTATTTTCATATGTCACAAATTATTTTACGATCATAATTCAAAAATTTTAAAGGCCACAATTTGCTCTCGATAACAAATCAAAAATTTATACGTCGCAATTTATTAATCGGTTACAAATCTATCAATTTAATTAATCACATATTATATTTCGGTCACAAACAAAAATTTCATATGTTACAAATTATTTTACGGTCATAATTCAGAAATTTTATAGGTCACAATTTATTTATCGATCATAAATAAAAAAATTATATGTTACAATTTATTTATCGATCACAAATCACAAATATTATAAGTCACAATTTATCTTTTTCATTAGTCACATATTGTTTATTGGTCACAGATTAACCAATTTAATGGTCACAATCAATCAAATAATTTGTGACCACAACCAACACTTGTGACCACCACCGCACCACTCCCTCTAGCAGCACCACGTCCACTTTTGTCGCCAGAACCACTATCGCCACCTTTCGACAGCAACATAACTACCTCAAACTAATCAATACATCGTAGAAAAATACCACCGCATCGTCACGACATTCCACTGCGACAAACTTGTCGTCGCCGCCGCCAGCACCACCGTCGCTGTCGCCAGCGCCAACAAGACCACATCCACTTTCAAAAGTACTCTAGTACCCAAAACCCCACTACAGCCCTTACCCAGCCTATCTCATTAGTTGACCTAAATTCAACATTGCGTCTTCTTCCTCCAAACCCTACAACAACCACCATTGCCGCCACCACAATGCCCAATCGTGAACCACCACTGCCTCCCACTGACAGCCATCATTGTCGGCCCCACCACTTCCTTCAAACCACACCATCGTCTTCTTCTTTCCTCGCCACAACCCTCATCACAACCAACACCATTGAACCGCCACCACCATGCGGTGCTTCGCAAATCGCTGCAGGGACTAAGCGGTCGCAGCAGCTGCGCAACAGATTGCTGGGGTGTGGGTGAAGGCCGGCATATCGCTGCTGACGGCGGTGAGCGATCTCAAGCAGTGCTGCTCCGGCGTCTTCTCGTCTGGCGGTGACAATGAGGTAGAGAGAATGGGAGGTAGAGTAGAGAGAGTGTGGGATGGAGAGAGGAGAGAAAATCAACGACATTGAGGTAGAGTAGAGACAGAGAAAGGAATAGAGAGGGAAGAGAGAAAATTGAGGATATGAAATAATTGGGGTTTTAATGTGTATGGTTGAATATAATAAATATGTATATTTAATTTTATAATATAACTATTAATATTTTAAAATTTTAATTATCATCTGATTTTTGCAATAAAAACTTGTAAATCTGAATATTGTGTTACGCCTCGCCTTTAAGGCTCAAAGTAAAAGTGTTACATAGCAAGCCGGGTAGGCAGAAAGTCAACGATAAAGTCAANTTAATATTTTAAAATTTTAATTATCATCTGATTTTTGAAATAAAAACTTATAAATTTGAAATTTGAAATTGTTACTTTAAAATTCTGATTTTGTGTAATTTTCTCAATTACAGGACTAAGCGTTTTCAAATTCTCAATTCATATTTAAAAGTTAAAAATGTTTCTTTAAAAAATCAAATAATTAAAATTTTAAAAATAATAATATTATAAAATTAAAATAATCCATCCCACCTACCCCATAACCCCAATCAAATTTCTTTCCAAACCCTAAACACTATTTCCACTCTCTTCTCCCTCTCTCCATCTTCTCTTTTCTCACTCTCTTTACAAACCCCCACCACTCACTACACTGTCACCCATCTCTAATCCCACGACGTGGCTCTCCTCTCTCTCTCTCTCTCTCTACAGTAGTGCAGCCTTGCACTGTTATGGTGGAAGAACTGATCAGCTGAAGTGGGGAACAAAGGGAAAGAGGAACATCAGAAACCAAGCTGCTGCAACTGGTAAGATGAACTTCTACCGGGGAGATGGACTTCTACCGCCAAATTCAAATCAGAATCAAG